AGGCTTTTAAAATACGTCTACACCCTGGGGCCTCGATGCCTGTAACTTTGGCACGTTCTGCATGCAATTTTCCATCATTTTTGCGTTGAGGGTTGTAGTTTCTGGATCCCTTGCCAGCATCACTGGTCCTGGCATGGGCACAGTATGTAGGCTGTAATCAGATGAACTCAAGATTGTGCCTCGTAGCTTGCATTACTGGAGGCCATTTGGTGCTATGCTCGAATGTCACCTCCTCAGTTTCCCTGACCACTCAATCAAAAATAAAAATAACTGGCCAGGCACAGTGGCCCACACCTGTAATCCCAGCACTTTGGGAGGCCAAGGCAGGCAGATCACTTGAGGCCAGGAGTTCAAGACAGCCTGGCCAACATGGCGAAACCCCATCTCCAAGAAAAATACAAAAAAATTAGCCAGGCATGGTGGCGGTCACCTGTAATCCCAGCTACTTGGGAGGCTGAGGCACAAGAATCGCTTGAACCCAGGAGACAGACATTGCAGTGAGCCGAGATTGCATGACTGCACTCTAGCCTGGGTGACAGAGCAAGACTCTTGCCTCAAAGAAAATAAATAGAATAAAATAAAATACAAATAAAAATAACCTGTCAGTCACTCTCATTCCCTTTTGTTACTTTATTTTCTTCACAGCATTTCACACTATCATAATCCCAATTGTGATTTCCACACCTTTTATACAGCATTTTATTAACATCAGAATTTTTATAAAGTTCTTAATGTACTACAGATGGAAAGCCAACTTTTTCTCAGCATTTCACTGTTTTCCTTCTTTATTCTTAAAGGAGGATCCTCTGGATCACATTTCGGACATGGAAGAAGTTTGTAAAATTTATGAAAGAGGAAAGAGTAAAAGAAGAAAGGCGACAGCAACTTCGTAGGAAGGTAGTTGAAATTCTTCCAGACTTTCAGGTGCCTGGAAGCGACCATGAGCTGTACCAGCAATCAGATACTTGGTCCTTGAGTAAGACAAGTCTTTTGTGAACCAATGAACCAGATTAGTGTAATACTTAGGACAGGAAGCGCGACTGGTCCATAATATGTGTGTTATCTCCACCCACCCATACACATACATATTCTCTATGAGCTACTTCTTAGATCAAAGGAATTATTTTGAGAATTTTTATTTCCTCCTTTGACTTTTCCTGCATTGCTAGTCATTCACTGTAGCATTTATCACAGTGGGATCATCCAAAGGAATATTCTAGAGATCCTCTGTTCAAATATATCCTATATATTTTTAGCATAGTAAACTTTAAAAAGGACAAGTGTTTGCCTGAGCCTGTGAAGAAAAACGTATCCATATAGCTTAACATGAGTTGTTGATAAATGTGACCTTAATTAAATAGAAATAAAAAGTAGTGAGTACTTAGAAAAGGAAAGGAGGCCAAGGCAGGCAGTCTTCTAGTACATTAGCATCACTGACAGGCACCCTACCAGACCTTGTCCATTTGAACCACCCCGATGGCAGACCATGCATGAAAATGTTCTCTACACTGCTGCTGCAGAGGATGGCCGCTTATCCTGATTTCAGAGAAACTGAGTCCCCAGAGATACTTCTCTTCCGTGCACCTTGATAAGCATGCAGGAAATTCTAAAAGGTAGTAACTCTATCATGACAGTCCGGCAATTCATTAAATTATCTGTTCACGCTCCCAACCGCAACTGCTGAATAATACACTCAGTTTGTCTTCTAGTACTCAGCTCAGTTTGATCTAGATACTGAGATACTTATCTTGAATTCAAAGAATGTTTTCATCTTTAACGTGCTATAAAGACTTATAAAATGCTCTATGAACTGTTAGAGAATTACCTGCTAGAAAAATAATTTTTCATTATAAAATACATGTTTATTATGACAAATTCAAGTAGCCCATAAGTGCATATGGTAAAATGAAAGTCCTGTGGCAGTCCTGAGATGACTACTCTTATGGTGTGCTGAAAATTTGAGTTGGCAAAATAAAATTCTGTGGCTAAGTGAATGTTCTTGGTATTGTCTCGTACTTCCTCAAAAGGATATCTAGCTGCACCACCTGCTACATGACTTAGATCCTTTTACCATGGAGGATGTGTGATATGACCCAAACACCTTGAATTGAACTTTATTTATTCTATGATGTGCCTGTTCCCACAGCTTTTCCTTTAATATGATTATACAGTTGTCATTTAAAAAAAAATGTTTTTCACGATTAATGGCCTCTAAAAATGTAACTAAAAGTAATAATATATCACTTTCCACCAAAATCACTATCAGTTTATACCTAACTACAGTACATTTACAAAATATTGGCTGATATTAGCACCTGGAAACAAAATACCAATTTTATTTTTTTTGTTGTTTTTTTGTTTTTTGTTTTTGTTTTGTTTTGAGACAGGGTCTCACTTCAGGCTGGAGGTACAGTGGCCTGATTATGGCTCACTGAAGCCTGAACCTCTCAGGCTCAGGCAATCCTCCTACCTCAGCCTCTCAGATAGCTGGGATAACATGCCCAGCTAACATTTTGTATTTTGTATTTTTTTTTTTTTTTTTTTTTTTTTTTGTAGAGATGGAGCTTTGCCATGTTGCCCAGGCTAGTCTTGAACTCCTGGGCCCAAGTGATCCTCCCAGCCTCCCAAAGTGCTGCGATTACATGAGCCACCACACCCAGCCACCAGTTTTCTTTAAATGCTAAGCCTGTACATAAGGAAAGGTGACTTCCTTAAGTAAACATGCCAGGAGCCTAAATAAATCCCACAAAGCTTAAGTTTTCTATCTGAGCTTTATTTTTGCCTCTCCTCAAACATCAACTAGAAATTGAGTCTTTAGCAGCCCATATTCCAAGTGAGCCAGTTAGACTTTTTACAGAATACAGAGCCTTCTAAAGAGATACAATGGAAATAGTTTTGATGCCGTTTTTTGCTGGACTATCATGAAGGTATATTTCAAAATGTTACTGCTAACATAATGTATCCCAACATAATTGATACCCAACAAGCAGTATCCCTGACGCACAAAACTGGAGAAATTGCCACTGGGAACATAACAGTTTAGGGCTAGGGACAGATACACAGGATAGGGACATCGAGGGAGCCAAAGAGGCAGCACAGGTATAATGCAGGGTTTTCGGAAATCAAAAGATTTCAGGAGACACTCCAAGAAACACCAGCTATTTTCCTTAAAGAAAGCACTTTATTTTCCATTTAAACAACTTGGTCACAGGACATTATTTTACATAAATGGCAGTAATTTGTAAAATTTCCATGTAAAAGGCCTTGTGTCTGAGTCTGAGGTGATAAGAGGATATGAATACAAGTATATAAAAACAGTGCAAAATGTTCAGCCCACAGCCTCCGGAGTTGGCTTCAGAAATCCCCCTTAATGTTGCTAGACCAGTTACATTAAATATTAAATGTAACATCAGGTAAAGATTCCTGGGTTTCCTTTAGTCTAACATCCAACCCAGATATGCAATAAAATGAAAAGCTCAAAATCCCTAACAACTCAAACCATCCAATCACCCGGACCATTAGGATCACAATGAGTTGAGACTGCAGGCTCTATCATGTGCCATCTTGTTAGTGGCCCATCTTAAGAAATACAGAATTTTAGTTGCATCAATAACTAGAATAGACTAGCTCTGCTTTTAAAGCTTTGCCTTTTAAGTAGAAATTTCTAGAAGTTCACTTTCAAGGTGCCATCAGGAAGGCTAGGCCACTAATAAGTCACAAGCCCAACCTGGACATCGCGCAGCCTCTAAGACATTTGTCTCCACTAACCGTTCAGTCTTTAACCTGCTGCTGATCCTACAGTGAAACACTTAGTGCCAGCTGAAGCGTGGATGCTTGTCTATCAGCAACATAATTAAGTGTAGCTGATACTGCAAGAAATTTATATTAGTCACAGCAAACAGCCACAGGAACATACTGAATTGTACTTGGTAGTGAGTTTAGAATGGCTTTCCTGCTCCCCTGCATCACCTTCGAAGTGTTTAATACAAAAGGGTGCACATGTCAAGCTGCCACTGACAAAACCAGATTCCAAACAGGTGCCTCAGGAAAAGTCTCTTACTATCCATTGCTTGCTTAAGAAACCTCTACTTTTCAAAATGCAAGGTACCAGAATATGGCTACAATGAAGTCAGGGCATATAAACTTACCTAGGTTAAAAAGACCCTTAAATCTCGCAAAACTTTAATTTTTAAACATCCTGGCTAAAACTGTGCTTCTAGATGTTATATTTTTGCTTATACTAGTTTTAGCTTTATAATAAAAAGCTAATGTCCTACTCAAAGGAAATACATGTCTATTAAGCAGATGGTCAGTAGTATGTAGAACCTTACTGGCACTGTGTTTTCTGGCAGTGGAAGATTCTAGTACAGAAAATTGTCTCTTGCTAAAAATATTAGAAGTACCAAGGACTATTGCATAAAAGAAAGTTTGTAGCAATTTTTTGCTAGGCAGATGGTACACTTGAAGACAACAATTACTTCATTCACCAAGGAAAACACTACTTAGCAAAGATTTACAATATCCTAAACACAAACACATGTGTGGCTGAGGTGAAATAAGCAGCACGTTGTCCCGGAAACACACTTAAGGCTTCACATTAGCAGCATCAGGGTAACCTATCAAAGAGGCGTTATTAACCGTCAGTTCATTTCAGGAACGCTCAGCTGGAACCATAAAAGTACTCTGTGGGTATCATAAGAAACATATTAAATATTGAAGGATTTTCCTCTTTCATGCAGTCGTGATCCTTAACTCTTTCTCCCTTGAATCTTTCAAATCGGTGTATTCTTCTCCCCCCAGGAACAGTCCACAGTGGTGTGATAATAATCTAAGTGGCCAGATGATAGTAGGTAATTTATTAAACTCCATATCCAGTATGTTCATTAACAGAGACTGAGGACGTGAGATAAGAGAAGAGGGCCTGCTTGCTTCAAATCATGTTCAAGGGGCTTGCTCCTCTGCCCAAGAGACTGCTGATTTATAGGTTCACAGGACAATCCTCCACTACCACCACCAACAAATGCTTCCCTGGGATTGATTCATTCAGAGGCCTTGTCCTTTCAAAGATTCCACAATAAACTCACCTGGCCTCTGGAGAGAACCAAGGCCTATAATGAAACCCCTCAAATAGTTCCAGATCATAAAAGGCTCCAAAGTCCTATAAAACAAAGATGTCGCAGAGCCTACAGAACACTGCTCACGGATTAGCCCCTTGTTTGCTGCTCCTTTCGGTACAGACGCCTGGGAAGGCTTTTCCCCAAAAAAATTACTGGTCTTTTGACAGGTTTAAGCATTCTGTAAACTGTCCATCATGGGTTCGCAAGGAACTTAAAACAAGTATCTTCATGCCAATAAACCTGAATAATAAACAGAGAGTCCCTTCCTATCCATGGGAAGGAAGCTGAGTTGGCTCATCCAAGTAACCCTATTAGAGGTAAGTTGTTAAAAAAAATGGTGATCATTCCTAATTCTCCAAATGACTTTGGTGTCTTTGTACTACTCATCTTCATCACATCACATTTAGATTGTTGTGATCAATTTGGCAAGAAGCTAAAGTTACTGACTATACTAATGTTTCTATGAATTTGTATGACCCGTCGACGGCTAGATCATCAGAGTTGGCTCTACAGCTGACATTCAAAAGCACGACTACCCATTTCTGCCCACATATGCTATCCCTGACATTATTACTATCTCTCTTATCTCAAACCTGTACAGAAAGAAATTTGTTACATCAAATCCAACTTTAATTCTAGGTAAATATTCAGCTCTGGGCCAGGGAGAAGGCATCACTGTACAAACCTCAGAGTCTGCTAACATCCCCAGGCACAGAGCCTAACATTCGTTAAACAAACCATCTCTGGGGAAAATGACGACAGCCTGAATAAGAATATGGTGACCATCTTAAGGACAGCTCCGATTAATGGCCACAGTAGGGATGGTGCTGGCTGCAGAGGGTGGAAGTGCAGGAAGTAGCAATATTTCCTCTCAACAAATATAAATCTCTTGCTTAAAGCAGCATGCACAGAATGACTGAAAACGCTGGCAGTATTTTCCCTACATTAAGCTATAAGCCAAGGCAAATTTAAGGAGTCATGAATTATCTTTGGGATTGCAAAACAGTACATGTACAAAACCAACATTTCAAAAGGGTATTTTTCCTCATCTGAAATTCTCTCATCTTAATTCTGTAGCAGAATAATCCATTGTACATAAATATTTAATCTTTTATACATTTTCGCTTTTAAGATATGATTAAAGAAACAGCTTGTTACTGTGGGAAGAGCCAGGGAAGAATGGTAATCCATTAATAGTGGAAACCACATATACCCTGTTTCTTCTCTCCTAGTGAGATACTGTTATTTAGGGAGGGGTAATTGAGAATTAATGTGCAAGTTAAGTGGGAAGATGTCACTCAACTCCTCAAAGTTCATACCGGAATAATGTGAATGCCAGAAGGCTGATTTTCACAATTGAGTGCTATAACTGACAGCATTTGAAATACATGAAGAAAATACTCGAGCCCTTGATGTTACTCAGCCTTCCTACCAGAAAAGAGAGTGAAGCATCCCCACAGGGGTGTCTGTTCTCCTCTTCCAGCCACAGTCACAAGTGTGCTAGCACCTTACCCGGTGAAACATGGGAAGAGGAAAAACACGTGAATGCCTATTGGAGTTATTTATAAGAAACCCAAGCAGAATATATAAAAAATAAATAGAAGAACTCATCACCTAAACTCATGGCCACTGTACATTACACTAGCAATAATTATCTTTATAACTGTTGTCAACTGTCTTTTCAAGATCAGACAACTTAGCGTCAATCCATCTGGTCATCTTCTCTGAGTAGTTCATGTCTAATACTTAAGAAGGAGAAATTCTCACAACTGTACAACACGATATATGCTGAAAACTGATTACCCTAATCATATTGGCTTCAATAATCTAACCTACAAACATTTTTCTTCTGTCACAATATTCTCCTAATACTTTGTATTTCCATGGTGCTTGAGTTGTTTTTGAGTGCTTTCCACATCCATCATCCCTCACGTGACCCTCATGACAGCCCTGTGAGGTAGCCAGGGCAGGCATCAGTACCCCACTTTGTGGATGACCCTGAGACTTGGGAAAGTGACTCAACTAGGGGTCACATGGCTATTAAGAATCGAAAGAGGGACTAGAAACTATCCTAATCCAAAACTCTTTCCCCCATACTAATGGATGGGAATTGCTTCTATCAATTTGTGCATTAGCAATCCACATCCTTCTCAAGTTCAGGCAATTGAGTCAATTAAAAAGGTGACTAGAAAGGAATGGCTCTACTTTTCTGCTTCAGTATAAAAGTCTCTTAAGTTGTGGCATCAGAAAAATTAACTTCTTCCCACTCCAGTCTCTAAACCTGAGCATGGCCCTATAATGCCTTTAAGAAACCGGGGATAAAAATGGACACTGAAGTGTAAAATGGAAGGGAGACGGAAGGAGGAGCCATCATCCCTCAGAGAGCCACACAGAAGGCACTTCAGACAATGTCCTCGGCAGGGTGGTGGAATGCACGTGTGCCCAGGGTGGAGAACTGGTGCCAGTTCCGCAGGAAGCCCCTATTGTACTGGCCTGTGTCCACGATGAGCCCGCAGAGGAGCCGGCGCCCAGTCTTCTGTCGGAGGGCCTGCTGGACTTCCCGTTCAGTCACATTGTAGCTGATATTGATCAGCTGGATCAGGAAGATGTAGGCCATGCCTGCTGTGATGATCACAGAGTACCACACGCAGGTGAAGGAGAGAGCCGAGCTGGGAGAGGGGAAAAGGCCGGTCAGGGCTGCCGTTTTTGTCACATTCAGAAAACTGTCATCATCCTCACATTTTACACATTTTTTTACTTATTACTAAAGACTTTTGACATCTTCCCCAATCCTCCGAACTGGAAGATACTCAGAATTCCAATAACCTGCTTAAGCAGGAGAATGTGCATGTTTATTCTATAATTACTGGTGCCTGTTTTCTAGTATATTACACTAGAATAGCAGGGACTGTTTTTTGCATTTTGTACCCTCCACACACCCAGCACACTGCCTGACATAACAGTGTTCAACACCTGTTTGTTAAATAAACAAGTAATTTGTAAATTATATCTAACTCATGAGAAAACAAAGGAACCAAGGGATTGCTATAAATGTCCTCTAGGAAGCTGCAAGTGGATGCCAAGGGACAGTGCTAAAGTTATTAATCTCCATTCTTTCCAGTCCAGTGCTGAGGAACGCAAAGACCACGATGACGCCCAACACCAGCAGCCCTGTGCTTATCGGATGTAGGAACACCGACCGTAACATTCCAAATTCACCTTCCTAAAGCCCAACACAATCACACAGGGCAGGGACGCTCCTCTCAGGCTCACTAATGAGACAGGCTGCCAGTGAGCCTCTGCCATCTGATGATTTTCAAACATTCGCGAATGAAGTTAGTTGGAAATAAGTTCATTCAGAATCTTCATGTGTAAAGCTGAAGGGACCTCAGAGACTACTAAATCCAAGGACCTCACCAAAAAGATGAGGTGCTGTGAATCGTCTGCACAGAGCAGGGTGAGAAGCAATGGCAGGACTGCGTTCCTCGGTTCCCTCGCCTCCCCACCGAGTGCACAGACATGCTATGCTTCAGGACAGGCCTCACCTGCAGCGTTAGCGGAGAATTTGACACGCTGGAGATACTCTCCACACAGCGGGGAAGGAAACTTACTCTGACGAGGACCAATCTAGTCTAATAATGCCCACAGGTGTCTGGTTCTAGGATGACAATGGGGATATCTGCCCACAGATTAATAAAAACAAATGCCGCACAGGGATACTTTGTAGAGAAAGCAAGGATTGTTCTGAAAATGAAGAGTGAGAAGAAAGAAAAGGACCAAACCATAGACACCACAGAGCACTTATGTCAGAGACGATGATGAAGGGAAGGGAATAAACAGCATGGGCAGAGGGGGGCCCCGGCATACAGGGAGGGGGCGCTGAGGCCGAAGCTGAAGAATCCCAGCTTTTGCCATGGCCTGGAAATCTTCACAATCTATAAAGGGGCCTCAGGAAATACTGACCTACATATCATAGTAATCATCAGTGGTGATTAAAAAAAGAAAGAAAGTAGAACAGGAAAAACCAAGAGAGGTCAGAAAGAAAAGCAAGGTTATAGAGATGCTGAGCACATCTCCAAAGGGTCGGAAGCAGGAAATTAAGACTGGACTAAAAAGCATCAGAAAGCAGCGGTAAAGGGAGAAGGTTTTGGATCGTTATGACAAAATAGGCACATATGTGCCCTGGGGCTGCTAGTTTCTGTTGATTGTGTTAGTTTCACTGGTGCTACTTTGAGCCTGTGAGTGGTCACCGGACTCTGGAAGTCCCTGATTAGGCCTGGTCCTGTTTGTAGAGAACTAGTTCTTCACTTTCTAAAGGTCAATAATCCTTTTAACAGCACCCTAGAAAAACACACATCACCAATGCATAATTTTGCTGGCAATTTCAGGGATACCCAGCATTCCCACAGCCTGGCCTATGTTTTGGTTGAGAACTCCTAACCAAGTAGTAACAGTCCCTGTCGATGGCAACACCCATTTCTTCCCAGGGGGCCTCCATACTGTGGTATCCACGGCTCACCTGTAATTTGCATAAACTCCAGGACAGTAGAAGAGAGCTGTGAAGACGCTTCTATCTCTACAAATGGTGTCCAAGGTCAGTGTGATCCCATACACCGAGGTGAGCAAGAAGATCAAAAGGGCAAGTATAAATGCTTGATGATTTGATTCTCCAACGCAGCTATTTATCCTCAAAACAGCATAGAGAAATAAAAAAGCAAACATTTTTAAGAGTTCTCAATACAATTTACATGATAAACAAGAAAGCTTTTTTTTTTTTGGAGACGGAATCTTGCTCTGTAGCTCAGGCTAGAGTGCAACAGCGTGATCTTGGCTCACTGCAACCTCCGCCTCCCAGGTCCCGGTTAAGCAATTCTCCTGCCTCAGCCTCCCGAGTAGCTGGGATTACAGGTATGTGCCAACATGCCCAGACAATTTTTGTATTTTGAATAGAGATGGGTTTTCACCATGTTGGCTAGGCTGGTCTTGAACTCCTGACCTCATGATCCGCCCACCTCAGCCTCCCAAAGTGTTGGGATTATAAGCATGAGCCACCGTGCCCAGCCACAACAAGGTTTTAAATAGGGAAAGTATAAATTACAGTTATTAAGAAGTTCTCTTATTTTGCAATTTTAGGGAATTAAAAACTTGCACACTGAGGGATGCAGTCTTATATTCACTGCTCTTTGCAAAGTGGAATCACATCGTCAGTTTAAGGACAAGACTAAGTAAAAAGCAGCACCTGGCTAACAAATCTTCCTAAATACCAGTATTACCCAGCTATGAAGAGCTAACATTGTCCTCACCATGTTAAGGAAAGGGAGCTAAATAGAATTATGAAAACATAAAAATGCTAAATCAGAAGTATTACAGATTATGGGAAAATTCATGTTCAATATATGAAGAGTAAGATAAAGATCCAAAGAGGTGAGAAACACAGGGTGAGGGGAAGAACAACTTGGTAACCTGCAGGCTCTTTGGCAGGTAAAAACAGTTCTGTGTCATGGCCATTTGTGGGGCAGGATGTACAGGGAGTGCCTTCTACCCACTGCACACCAGGATGCTCCAGTGGGCACAGATCTGCTCTTAGGTGAGCCTTCTGCAAACCAGCATTTGTAAATGGAACACACACACACACGCACACACGAATAATAAGTGATGAAGACACAGAAGTAGAATATCTAAAAATGAAAACACCTGTTTACTTCTAAAGACAAGGACCCAGAAAAGAGCTGCCCTGCACTTGAGCCATGCACTTGAGGCCCACGTCGATGCCTCTCAGCCTTTTCTGCACCCCCACCCTCTCCTGCATCCGCTTCTCAGGAGGAGGTGGGATGCTACAGGACCAGAATCCTAGACATGAAAAGCGTAACTCATTGATCACAACTGCCTGAAGAGCAATAAACCTGCAAACATGCTACTCACAGCATTCATGTCTGAATTAATTATACTCCCTTTAGTTTAGATGTTTTTAGTGAAGCTGCAACATCATCTTTAAACATTGCACTTCATATTTTATAGGGCCTTATGTACCTTCATTTGTTACTGGCCAACTGGGAGGTACAAAAGCCCATTTCTCTGCAAATAATCAAATAGAGAGTTTATCTGGTAAGGCCTCAATTCAGTAATGTTAAGTGGAAATCATTGGTAGCATCAAAAACGATTATGTATGTATGGCAAGGGGGAAAAAGAGTCACCTAAAAATAGGGGTACACTTTCTTCAGCTTTATGTTTAAAAAGGAATAGTACAGGGAAATATGCTTATACTGTTTCTGATCAATTCTTTTAAAAAAAAAAAATCATTCAGCTGTAGATACTTCTCTATTAGAAAGAAGATAAATGAGGAGTCGTTCAAAAGAAAATTGAAAAAAAAAAAAAACCCACAAGTTTTCTGTTATTCTGCTTCAGGAAATGACTGAAGGAACTAAATTTGTGAAACTCGAAAAACTGATGACTAAGTGGGAAGATCACAACAACCCACAAATACCTACAAGGTGTAAAGCTGGGAAGGAGAGAAATTTTGGGATAGCACAAGGGAAGATCAAATGTAACTAGTGAGTTTTACATGAATTTACACTTTCCAAGTCTCCAAATGTTTCCAACATACCAGACACAGTGATGATCCATTCTCCTCACACAGATGCCACATATCCGGCAGTGCCACGCCCGGGCTGGTCGCACCAGCTGGCACTTGGCACACCAGTCCTCCTTTGCTTTGGTGGGGCTTCCAGCCGGCATCCTGGAAGAGCCCCTGGGGTCATCCTTTGCTGTGCGATTGTTGAGACTGCCCGACGTGTCTGTCCCAGGGAACCCTTTCGTCTTCTCCTGCCCTTTTCGGTTCAGCAACTCCAGCTGGCTGCTGCTTAGAGCTCTGTCACTGCTTGCTGGATTGAGGTAGCCTGGATTCTTCTTGGCTCTGTACAAGGCTAAGAGTATCAGAAATAACCCGCAGGTAAGAACAGCTAGCTGAACGGGACCCACACGCCCTTTGGGGACCACTTCCTGCAGGAACACATAGTACATGTAGCCCAGCGAGAACAGTCCAAGGCTCAGGAAAAACAGGGTCTGTTCTTTCCTTCTGTGAGTGAGGTAGTAGTACCACAGTGCCAGCACAGGAAGGGAGGTCAAAACCACCACCCCCAGGAGGAAATGCCAGGAAGCCACATGAAGGAAGACAGGCAGCAGGACAAGCGGAGGGATGATGCTGATGTTCACTTTTTTGGCTCCTCTAAGCCAAGGAATTCGGAGGCGATCAGAAATTGTATCCATGATTCTTTCACAAGTCTCTGGCTGTAAAGATTTACATGTAATCCATCTATTCAGAAAAAGCACAAAGAGGAGGGACTTTATGTGGGTTTGTTGAATTAAAAGCTACAGAACACTGAATGCCAAACGGCGAGATAAATGATTACAGCTACCAAAGACCAAACATTTCACCTCCTTACTACAAAACTAAGCTTTTCAGATTCACACGTCATTTTTTAAAATAGGAACAAGATGTTTAAAACTTAAGGTTATTTCTCCCCTAAACAAATACATAGGTATAGACACATGCTGCAAGTAATGTTTACATCTTATGACCTGTACAGTCATAAGAATCTCAAAACAAATCACAATCTAGTTCTGAGGACAACATGGGAATTCAAGAACTATGAGGTAAGTGACAAAGCAGCAATAATCAATGAACTCTTGGGATCAAACATTGTAAGGAGTGCTCAGAGGAGTGTCAATACTTCTGGGTGGAGTCATCAGAGGGGTCTTTGTGGAAAAGGTGGGATCTGTGCTCAACCCTGATGTCCAGCTAGCATGTGTATGAATGGAGAGGGAGGAAGGCAGGCCTTCTAGTGGAAAGAAATGTGTGCAGCACACACCTGGCATGAGCCCAGGCAGCAGACTAGTCCTGCAAGGATGGGGTTACATACAGAAGAATAGAGATCAAACTAGTATGAATCAAATCACTGAACTTGGTGAACAGAATATTTGTTGACTGTTTTGCACACTTAGGCTATGCTATGTTCTAAATGTTTATGCCCCCAAAATTCATATGCTGAAACCCAATCCCCAATTCAACAGTACTAAGAGACGGGGCCTTGAGGAGGGTATTAGGTCATGAGAGCAGAGCCCTGATGAGTGGAATTAATGCCTCTAAAAAAGAGACCCAAGGGAGCCTGTTTGCCCCTTCCACCATGTGAGGACACAGCAAGAAGGTGCCATCTATGAAACTGAGCAGGACACCTCACCAGACACTGAATCTGCTGCTGCCTTGATCTTGGACTTCACAGCCTCCAGAACTATGAGCAATAAATATGTTGTTTATAAATTACCCAGCCTAAGTTATTTTGTTATAGCAGTCTGAACAGACTAGGACAGAAATTGGTACTGACAAGTAGGATGTTGCTACAACAGATATCTAAAGGTGGATGCAGTTGTGGAACCGGGTAATGGGTAGAGGTTAGAAGAGTGTGGAAGCGCATGCTGGGAAAAAACCTAGACTGTCTGAACAAACCAACAAAGGTGATTCTAGCAAGGGCTCAGAAGAGGAGAGCTGCAGAGAAAGTCTCAATCTTAGAGAATCCCTAAGAGGTAATGAACAGAAGGCTCTCAGCAATATGGACAGTAAAAGCCATTCTCATATGATCTCAGATGGAAGTGACAAACATGTGATTGGAAACTAGAAGGAAGGTGATCCTTGCTACTTATAAAGAGGGAAAGAACTCAGTGGAATTGTGTTTGTGTCCTGCTGTTTGGTAGAAAATAGAACTCAAGAGTGATAAAACTGAGTATTTGGCAGTAGAAATCTCTAAGCAAAGTGTTCAGGGTGCTGCATGGCTTCTCATAAATGCTTATGGTAAAATGCAAGAAGAGGTAATTTTTTTTTTTTTTAGACAGAGTTTTGGTCTTGTTGCCCAGACTGGAGTGCAATGGCGCGATCTCAGCTCACCACAACCTCCACCTCCCGGGTTCAAGTGATTCTCCTACCTCAGCCTCCTGAATAGCTGGGATTACAGGCAAGAACCACCACGCCTGGCTAATTTTGCATTTTTAGTAGAGACAGGGTTTCTCCATGTTGCTCAGGCTGGTCTCGAATTCCTGACCTCAGGTGATCTGCCTGCCTGGGCCTCCCAAAGTGCTGGGATTACAGGCGTGAGTCACTGCGCCCGGCCAGAGACAGAAATACTTTAAAGACAAAATTCATAATCAAAAGGGGAGTAAAAGATTTGGAAAATTCTCAGCCTGTCTATGTTGTAAGAAATGAGAAAGCATGTTTGGGAGAGAACAGCAAGGATGTGGATGAGATCAGTATAGATTAGCCCCGTGCCAGTCATCAAGACAATGGAAGGACCCTGAAGACATTCAGAGATCCTTGGGGCTGCTGCTCCTACCACAAGCCTCAAGTGCCAGGGCTTTGAGAGCACCCATGGGGCTTCAGGGGGTAGTGCTGAGTGCCATCTGAAGCCTCTACTCCCTACATTCTGGTGCATGCCCCACAGCAGCTCCAGGTGTGGCTCGACTGGGCCTAGGTATGCCACAGAGGCCACCCCCTGAAGGGCACATGTGGTAAACCTTGGTGGCATCCACAGGGTGCCAATGCTGTAGACATCCAGAGTACAGGAGCTATAGGGGCCTGGCTGCCTCCACCTAAATTTCAAAGGATGCCCTGGAGAGCCTCAGGGCCGAGGCAGAGGACTGCCACAGGGGCGGGGCCACCACAGAGAGTCCCCACTAGGGCACTGCCCAGTGGAGCTGTGAGTGTGGTGGGGCCACTACAGAGACACCCCACTGAGGCAATGCCTACTTGGAGCTGTGGGGACAGGGTCACCCCCAAGAGCCCCAACTGACAGAGCCACTAGCATGCAACTCCAGCCTGGGAGAGCTGTAGGCATCTGTAGGCATCTGTAGGCAGTCCAACCCGAGAGCTGCAGTGTGGGCTGTGCGCAACAAAGCTGTGGTGGCAGGGACACCCAGAGCCTTGGGGGCCCAACCTGCAGCCCAGTGTGTCCACAAGGCAGGACATCAAGACAAGATTATTGTCAAGCCTTATTCAGACTTAACATTGTTTGCCTCACTGGGTCAGGACCTGTCACTAACACTCCTTTCTTCCTGTTGTTCCCTTTTGGAATGGGAATGTCTATTCTATGCATGTCCTTCCATTGTATTGTGGAAGCACCTAACTTGTTTCATTTCACAGGCGCACAGGTGGAGGAGAACTTGTCTCAGGATGAATTGGATCTTGAAACTCATCCATATCTGATTTGGATGGTGATATTCAGACCAGACTCTGGACTTTTAGACTTTTGAATTGACACTGGGATGAGCTAAGACTTTTGGGGCTATTGGGATGAAATGAATGTATTTTGCATGTGAGAAGGACATAAATTTTAGGGAGCCAGGAAGTATTTGTGTCCCTCCAAAGTTCGTTAGGTTGAAACCTCATTCCCAATGCAACAGTAATCAGAGGAGGTGATTAGGTCATGAAGACAGAGCCCTCGTGAATGAGACTAGTGCCCTTATAAAAGAGCCCTGTGAGCTTATTCACCCCTTCTGCCGTGTCAGGACACACCACGGAGGTGTCATCTATGAGGAAAAGGGCCCTCACCAGACACTGAATCTGCCCGTGCCTTGATCTTGGATTTCTGAGCCTCTAGAACTGTGAGCAATAGATGTATATTGTTTACAAATTATCCGGCCTCAGTTATTTTATCATAGCAGCCTGAACAAATTAAGACAGGCTAGTAAGAAAAGGTAGAGTTTAAGGAAAGGTAACTTTGATTTTAGACAATTTTTAAAGGTAAGACTAGAACTTGGAGGTGAGTGGGAGGTAACTAGTTGGGAATCATACAGAGCGGCAGGCACAGTGGAAACACAGAGGAGAGGGGTACAGAGAGAGCAGAGGAGACGCCTCAGGGGACAGCTCAGGTCTCCAGGGTTAGGAGGGAGGAAGAGTTAGCAAGGTTAATGGAAGAGCTGCGGTCTTGAGTGATGGTGGTTATGGAAACAGCATCATTTCTCCATTCATTAGTGCAAAGTGCTCTATTTTCTCAGTATAGATTTTAGACTAACTCTAAAGAATCTATATTCAAAGACATCCATAAAAAAAACTACATAGTACACTGTCAAGTAAGAATTACAAAGGGGTCACTGGGATTTTAAGAGTCAAGGCTAGTACTACACTGCAGACCCAAAGGAATGCTGTATTAATGTACCAAGCTCTAAGTCAACAAACTGGCACTTGCAATGACATTTTTAAGCAGAAATAATTACTAATGGGAAAAGCAAGTTTCCAACATCCCTATTCTTCCCACATTATGACTTCCATGTGACAATAATTTTTAAATATATAATTACTCAGAAAATGGATTAAAACCAGGTTATTCACTGTCCGACACTAAATTTTTTCAGTGATGTTAAAAATTCTCTTTTTGGATAGTAATTTCCATCACTTGGAAAATAAAAGCCAAATACAGTACAATCAATCAAGTGTTGCTGGTCACACTGAAAACTGTGAATCCAGGGGAGATGCATGCCTTCTGGCTGGAGTTCCTCCCCAGAAACAAGGGGCAAGACCAGTACTAACAGCAGGAAAATGATCTTTCAACCCACAAGGCCCTCTGTGGTCAGGCGCCACCCAGTCCCAAGTAGTCAGTCTCTCAATGCTGAGACCTCTGAGAAGGCAGGAACTTTCTGGAACTAATGTGTTCATTTTAAACTTACAGATTCTGCTGGCTTGCATTTTATTTTATACTAACTTGCCTACTATCCCTTTAAACTGCCTGTTCTCTCCCCCATCTCTCTTTAAACGAAAAATAATATCCTATAAAACAGCAGACAGACAGCTGTGCCCTACTGCGTAATCCATCTTTATAAAATCCTCACACTTGACATAGAAGCCAACTCTCATTTTAGATGCTTGGAAATAGAATCAAGAGCAAATTCTAGCATTCCGGGTGGCTAGGCTGAAAGTACACACGGCAGTTCTCAGAAGGGTGATGGGGCCAGCGTCAAGTAATGCTCTGCTCTTACCGATCACACCCTTCATCCAGATCTTGACAATCACACAAACAAGCAGCCACGTGGTTCTTTTCCCCATTCCGATCTATGTACTCGCAGCAGCACAGGGGCTCCAGTTCAGGTTCTTCGGTTTTCTTTTTCTTCACAGGTTTCATACTGCCCTTCTGTGTCCTGATTTGCACCTGTCACCATGAGGCGTAAGAAGCCCTCAGAAGGTAAAGGTGGAAAGAACACAACTTACATCTCGTAAACAGGTCCACGCCTCTCTTTCTGCTTAACCTCCAACGCCTGAGCAATCAAAAATGAGAAGAGAGAGGGGGAGGGGGTCCCGTTTTCATCAGGCTTTTATGGCTCCGCCTGGCCACACAGGGGGCTCCAGGGTTCTTGGAGCTCCGAGCTGCCTTCACCGCCCCTTCCCAGCCTGGGCAGGCGCCGTCTGGGCACCAGCCGTTCCTATGGCGACAGCCGACCACGCGTCCGGGACAGCCGGGGCGCGGGCGGTTGCGCTCACCTGCGGGTGCAGGCTGGGAGGGCCAAGCGGTCTCCGCTCCAAGCCTGGGCGCTGGTGGAAACTCAGCCTCCGGGCTGCAGGGAAAGGCGAAGCATATGCCCGCTGGCACCGGCTAACACTCTCGGCGGCTGAGACCGGCGACCTCGCTCCAGGAATGCCACCAGACTCCCTGGCAGTGCTCGGGGGTCGCCGTCCAGCTCAACTGGTCGGGCCCCTTGCGGGGTGCGCCTCTCCCGCCCCCGCCAATCCGGAGGACGTGGGCGGGCCTCGCACGCCACCCCGCCAGGAGAATGACCTTGGAAGGGAAGTTACCTGCCCTCTGGCCGGAGGTGCAACTGCAGCCAAAGAGGCGGAGGGGAGATGGGTCGCCTTCCCCGGAGGCACGGACGCGTCTCCCGATCTCGGCTACGCGGAGCCCCGGGCGTGACGGCAGGAGTCTCCGGGACCCGGGCTCAGCTCG